CTTTTTTCAGTTCAGGTCTCTTGAACCTGAAAAAAAATTGGGATTCCCAAAAAACTCAGATCCCAATACTGGTACAGTCTTCAGATCTAAGATTTTTTGGAAATCTGATTTTTTTCCGGATCCAATAGACCCAAGGGGAAAAATGGGGGCGGGGGCGAGAGCCAGGCTGAAGTTGAGCCAGTGAGGTGCAGTCTGCTCTCCTCCATCACAGCTGATCCTGGGGCAGAAAAAACCGGGCTGCATGAGACACCAGCTGGCGAGGCGCAGTCTGCTCCCCTCCGGCACAGATGATCCTTGGTCTGTCTTCTGCAGTCCCTTTAGACTTTAAAGGGACTGCAGTAGAAGCTCGACAATCAGCTGTTTTTCGGATATACCCGGTAATTCCCAAATATATCCAGGACTTTTTTCAGGAAATTTTCCCGAAAAAACCTAGATACCTTTAGGATTCCAAAATATACCCCAAAATATTGATAAGGTATATCCTTATACTAATAGCCAAGTTGCCCCCGTGACTGCGGATATCTAAATCCGTGCTCCGGGGGCAGCTGGGGGGCAGGGAGAGGTTTGTGCACACGTGGGGCTGTCCCCACGTGTGCACAAAAATGATAAAAGTTGAAAAAAAATTCGGGGGAATGTTTAAATCCCCCCGAAAGTGCAAGAGCGTTCTGTGCGCATGCGCACAAAATGCTCTGCGTCCTACCTGTGTTCCCTGCGCAGGAAAGGAAACGAACGGCCGGAGAGGCCCAGCAGCGGCGGCGGCGGCGAGAGATAGGTGAGGAGGGGGAAGACAGTCGGGGAGGGGAAGAGAAACTGCCGAGGGCCTGGCGGATGTAAGCTGCGCGGGCCTCGGTTCACGGGGAAAAAAAGAAAGAGAGAGAGAGAGAGAGTCGAGGGGGAAGGAAGAGAGACCGGTGAGGGGGGGGGAAGACAGCCCGGAGAGGCCCGCCGGATGGTAGGCCACACTTCGAAGGGGGAAAGAGAGAGAGAGAGACGGGGGGGAGAGAGAGAGACTGGGGGGAAGACAGAGAAGGGGGGAGAGAGAGAGCCTGGGGGGGAGAGAGAGACTGGGGGGGAAGAGAGAGAACAGGGGAGAGACACACACAGAGAGAGGGACTAGGGGGGAAGAGAGAGAACGGAGAGAAAGAGAGAGACTGGCCCCCTCCCCGTGAGTATCGCGGGTCCCCCTCTTGTTTTGGGTATATTATCGGCTCTGGTAGATTCAAATGTGCACCCTAGTATGATTAGAATTCTACTCTTGGGCTGGAGACAGCTGGGTTTGAATTGTCATTTGGGCCATGGTTTTTATGGGATAACCTTAGGCCAGTCATTTTCTCAATGTTGGTGTGCATGGGGAGAGATAATCCAATCCATGTTATGCCACCCTGAGCTAATTGGAGGGGAAAGGGGATAGAAGTGTGAGGAACAAATGACTGAATTGCCAGTGGTTAACTGCCAACCTTTAAATCTCAGTCTCCAACTCCCACAGAGTCCTGACAAGGCAGCAAAGGAGAAAGCACACACATACCAGAGGGAAATTGCAAGCTTTGGCTGACTAAATATGAGTTAGTCAACTGAGGGTAGTGCTAAGTAGACCAAGGGGTTTAGAAAATAACAGCTTGATTACAGGACAGCTGAAGAATTCTGCATCTCTGAACTTTCCAGAGAAGCTCTGCTTTTAGGAAACAGTTCTAGCACAATAATACATTATTAATCCTTAATTCTTTCATTAAGTGTCTGTCACACACATGATGGTTATTCTAGCATACTCTGGATTGCATAAAATGGGAGGCAACACAGCAGATAATTGCACATGTGTGGAAATAAGCAGGTCTGCTGGTTTGCTCACCCACTCTGTGCATCAAGAGAGAAACCGGTCATTCAGAGGAAGATGCTAGTGATTAACAAGACTCTGCTTGTTTCAAAATAACATCAAGGCATTTCTTGTTCTATTTAGATCCATGCCAGTGAAAAATTAAAATCAGTGCAGCCTAAAGCATTTCAACAGGTTTTATTTATATTTTGTTCAGTGTAGATAATAGTAGAATGGGATGTGCTGTTGGGTCACCTCTGCTTTGGAGGAACTATTGCTAATTTGATTTAAGTTCAAGTGGTGAATGGGTAGGTTGATGTTGCTTGACAAACTTCTTAAATGAAGCTTCACTAATGGCAATAAAGGACAACTAAAGGCACCACTTCCAAATGCACCCTCTAGAAACAAGTGCTATGCCATTCATGTGGAAGAACCCTCCTTCCAAGTGATAGGACATGCAATCTTGTTCAGCTCAGAAGAACTTTGCCCATTAACTCAGAACATGAATTTCTGGCATGTCAGTATATCATCCTATGCATATAAAAGCCCCAGTGTATTGGCACTTTCCAGCTCTCCCACTGGCTGTGCACCTTATTAGCCATTGGCCCATCAACTGCCACGCAAGAGTACTTGCATTCTCCTTCTGGGTTGCTGACCTTCCGTCTCTCTGGCGTGACTCCGCAGACCTCAGGCAATCCTCCTCAGCCCCTGCTTAGTACCCTCCTTTTATCCTCCCTCCCCCTTCCCATTCTTCTCCCTTGACTCCGTCTCTGCCCTCCCTATCCCGCCCCCACCCCCATTCTTAATGGGAGATGCCAAGCCTCAGGAGAGGCCCTGCTTCCTGGCATCTCCTGCTGTGCAGGGTTGTGTGTGCCTACTGCACTTCGCCTGGGCTGCTGAGCTCAGAGGTAGGGGTGGGCCCTTGTGCCAGGCCTGTGGCCCAGCAGCCTCTGGCCATAGTTCCCTCTAAGCTGAGTTGGTGTGAGCTAGCTCACAGATTTTTAGCCTCCGGCTCACAGATTTTTGTCTTAGCTCAGGAAGGATGGCTCCAAAGCAAACTGATTTATGCAGCAGCCAAATCGCTCGCTCACAACTTTAATGCCAGTAGCTCACAAAGTAGAATTTTTGCTCACAAGACTCCATAGCTTAGAGGGAACATCGCCTCTGGCCCCGGCGATGACTTCTTTCCCTCCCTGTGGCTGCTGGAGACAGGTGGGTGTGGATTGGGTTGTCGTAGCACAGCCTCGCTGTGGGCCGTCAGAACACCGACGGACTCCTTTGCCACTTCGTTCCCTGGCTCCCCAGGTGAGCGGGAGGGTGGCCCACCGTGGGGGGCCATTGGGTGGTGTTGGGGTCACAAACGGTGGCAGAAGGGTTGTGGGGAGCCCACTGGATGCTGTTGGGGTGGCCGGGGGAGGCCTGTTGGTGGGACAAAGACAACTGTTGAAAAACAGCAAACACAAACAATTTAAGTGGTGAGCCTCCTGGGGGGGAACCTGTTTTTATAAGTCAGAACAGAAACTAGATTGACACACTTTTGATTAGTCCATGTGTCAATCCTGAAACATCCTGACCACTTTTCACACCAAGGCTGCGTGAACAGCACTAATTGGCTGACCCATGTGAATTGTTAACACAGCCACTTTCTTATTGGAACAGATTCCAAAGTTTAAGTGAACCAGAAAACAGCTGTTTTAAAAGCACCAAACAATTTTTTTCTTTGAACTGGTGTCTGGTTAACTTATTCAGCTGTATAAATGTGGTCCAACATTGTGAACAGATTGGGAAAGATTGTGTAGCTGGAACTTGTTACCTTGGCTAGCTACAAAGACTCTGAGGGTATACCATATATGGAATTCTTCGACATCTTCTTTCTTGGTGTTCAAGTCCAATTATTGAAGTCAAATTACAATGTAAAACTTTCTGTATAAAAAAAGCTTAGTGGCTGTGGCATAACATCTCTTGCAAGTTCTGTTTCTGCTCATGTGGGAGAAAATGTCTCAGTCTTCTTGGATCCTCCATTTAGCCCATCTCCCCCACTTTTTCTGCTTCCCTTTTCTGTTCTCTTTGGGTGGCTGCTACCTTCTAGCCTCATAAGGAAAGAGTATCTTCTGCTAAAGAGTGCTTTAGTGCTGTTTACTGCATTGCCATTATCATCATAATATGATTATAAGCAAATTGCGTTTTCCGGGATAGGCGATGGTATGCCATGGTACAAATATACCAGCTTCACAACCCCTCAAAAGGATATTTTCACATGTTAGGTATTTTCTGGTTTCATTGCAGTATTCCCTTGTAGAAATGGCTAGCTGTTCAAAGGAATTTTTTTTAAATTAAGAAACCACTATGAAAACTTGAAATATCATTCCTGAAGAAAAGGTACACGTTTTAAACAAATTGAGTCAGGTATAGATGAATCATGTTTGTGAGGACCAGTTAATCTCTGTCTCCACTATTCTTTCTCCTCTCACCTTTAACTGAAAGGCTGATTTCTTCACAGATGTTCCATTCAAAAAATTCAGGATCATGCATATCCACATCCAAATTACTGTTTGTAGACCTCTCTTATTTACCACGCTGCTGGATCAAACATTATTATAGCCACTAATTAGGCTGGGTTTTTTTCATTTATGAAGTGAAAAAATCATGCATTTTGATAAAGCTACAATGAGCAGATGTCATGTCTCTGTTATGAACGGAATACTGATCGGTGGTCATACTAGGCTCTAGGATCATGAGCACTTGGCACCAAAAGTCCAATTCAGTTTAATAAGTTTGAGTAACTTTACGTATATCAGACTTGCATTGATTTTTGTCTCAAACTGACTTATCACCCCACCCATTATCTTTATGCCCTTTCACCATAAAATGTCTGGCTGCTGGACTGGCTTTAGGTCTTGAACCAGAGTAACATTCCCCTTTGTGTGAAGCTCTGGTATACTGGACACATATAAACAGTGAATAGTGTTCTACTGAAACAGTTGTTATATATTTACCAATGTATGATTCAGACTGATTTTTTTTTAAAAAAAGAAAAAACTATATTTTTAAATCATTGTAAATAGCTCCTGCAAATATAATATACATACCCGAGTATAGAAATTTTCTAAAAACATCTGGTGGGCACCAGAAAAGGTGTTGGCAGGCAGCACGGAGCTAACAGCCATCATGCTGGGGACCCCTGCTCTAAGTAATAATTATTTCTGGATGTAGCCCACAAACATTTAGGGACAGAAGTAAATTGTTGGGCAAATCTTGAGAGGTATGGAAGGCTAGGCATAGAAACCTATAGATGGATACATAGCCATTTTATTTCTAGTTTGGTACCTGGATTGAACATCTGATTTCTGTTCCTCAGCATTCCAAAAACCAGATCTTACTGAAGTCATCTATATGTCTGGCCATGTCTGGCAACACTGAAGGGGATGTAATGAATTAGCAATAGAGAACATTATCTACATACAAGTATTACTTATTGAGATTCTTTTCCCTTACCAACAGTTAAAACAAAATGGCACTGGATCAGTAGGTTATATAGCTTCACAACTCTGAAGTTCATAAAATAGATAATTTTATATGAATAAAACAGTTTTGGCACTTATAAGTACATACATATGTAAAGTTAACCATATTGTCACAGATATTGTACACGATAAATTGTGGGTAAATACTAGTGGCTCTTACTCATAAGTAAGGTAAATTTCTAGCACTGCAATCTTTAACAGTTACAGACTTTTCAGTCCATTTAAGTCAATGGGCTTAAAGGGTACAACTGTTCAGGATGGTAGTGTCAGTGGTCTTCACCGAAGAGTGTACATAGTCATCACAAATAAATTTGTCTATTGTTTTGGAAAAGTAACTTAGGCTCTGATCACACCACTGAGGAACTGTGGGCGGGAAGCGAGGCTGTTTGCCCCAGGGTGAACTGACACGCGTTTGCGCAATCAGACTTCCGCCTGCCTGCCCCGCAGTTCCGCATAACACGTACCTTTCCCTGGTGTTTTTTTGCACCACTCCTGTGGCGCAACCAGACGCCCCGCCAACGACTCCAGGACGCCAGACAGATGTGTCTGTCTGATCGCGTCCCTTTAATCTGTGGGGGAATCGTTTGCCTGTCGCAGCTTCCGCTCCATATGATCGCAGCCTTACCGCTAGATGTGGTCTGTAACAGACTGTTTCTCTATTTGTGGTATTTATGAAATCTATCAGATATTTTGCAGTCAGTTAATATGAAGGCATTACCTAACATTTCTGATGCTCTGAAAGCCAGTTGCCCTCCTACAATGACAGCTAGGAGTTCCTTGAATTAATGGTAGACTATGCTGTAGTGAAGAACTTGCACAGCAATCAGCACATCCCATTCAAATTATTTGTTTCCTATGAACCACAAATCAAAAGAATAGACCATTGTCTATAGGAAACTCTGTAGAATGTTGTGGGAGTTCTCTCATAGACATATATACATACACTCTCTGTTTCTTGTATACTGGATCCCATTATGCAAAGACAAAGGCCAATATTCAAAAGCTACAAAGTAGGCCTACAGTTCCTCTGCAAGCCCATGAAAGCAGAGTTGATGTTATCTTCAACTGCAATCCCTCCTGTTATGTTGGGTGCTACTACATATCAAGGTCAGGCTGGAGCAATGAATGATCATATCAAATTAAGACTTGAACAGTAGCTCAAGCTGGTGTTCTGGTTGTTGACTGAATTCAAGATCCAACTCAGACATGATGTTCCCTGAGTGACCTTGGGCCATTTGCACTCACTCAGCCTAACCTACTTGTCAGGCTTTTAGTGAAGACAAAATGGGAAGGGGAGAAGCATGTACACAACCCTGAGCTTTGTGGAGGAAGAGTGGGATAAAAATGTAATTGATATTATCGAGCCCAAGGTCCATGAAGTCAATTGCTTGTCTAGAAATGGAGCATATGAAATACAGCAAATAATTTACTTCACTGCATTGCTCTACCAAAGGCAGAGTCATGCTCCTAGTATTTACATCCGTTTTGGCCAGTCCAGAGGTTTCACACAGCCTACCAATCACATAAGTTAAAGTTGTATATCTCTACAGTCGCAGACTCTGGATTTCACAGTTAAACCCCCAGAGTCTCCAGCTCTATAGCGAGCCCCCATTTCACAGCATATTTATAGGGGGGAGAACAGGCAAGAGTACAGTTGAAAGGAAGGGTCTGAAAATCCTGGTGTTCACACAGAAACCCAACATGAGCATAGAGAGCATAGAGAGAGTGGTACACAAAGACTCTCTGCCACTATTTCAGTGATTATAGCTACATTCCCCCCCCCCCTTTTTTCAAGAACTGCTATAGCTGTCTCAAAGTCATATGGAGAAAGCAAGAGGGACTTCGGTGTGTGAGCCAGCCTTAAAACACTCTGATTGTGATGCTTCTCAATGTACCCTTCTGCAATGGTGATGATGACAGCACGCTCTTAAGTTTCATAAAGCTTTCGGTCATAAGAGAATATCTGCTCATCAGTCCTTTTAAGGAATAAAATCTTCATTAACATCCACTTGAAGACGCTCCGGCTCATGCCTGCTGGCGCTACCCCAGTTCCATGCAGTGATCATAATTTTTCTACTAGGCATGCTCATGTACATCCAACATACTTAAGACCTGAGTGCATGGATCTGTCAAGGCATGAAGGTAGAAGGGATACAAGCAGGCACAACCCTGATCCTCCCATCCCATGAACATTTCTTACCAGATTTACTATGCACATAGGACTATTGATGAAACTGTATAAGTTGATCGAAGTACTCAAAACCTATTCATTGAATTGGTATAATTTTTAAGTTTGGTTTCTGAAGTGTTGTTGGAACTGAATAGCAGATCAAATGACCTAGAATTCAAAGGCACATCACACAGTTTTGCATTAAACTCTTCTGTGTTTAACAGCCCATGACAAGTAGGAAAAGTGATTTCTAAATATTAGCTTCTTCCCATGTCATTATTCTATCAAATTGTTGATTCAGATCTTCTTTTTCTGGTTGTAACTCTCACATCTCAGTAGCAATTCCACAGGGTCAGACACCATCAGTGTGTAAAGTTTTTATTCATATTTAGGCCGGAAACTGCCATCTGCTCCTTTGAATATTTTATCGGCGATGCTCCCCATATTTTTCTTCATAGCCTTCAGAGGATTCTCATGCAGGAGTATCTGTGTTAAATATTTTTGTCTCTTGATTTTGCTCTTGGTTTTATGGGACACATCGGGAATGGCATAGGAAATGACGAATTTCACAAAGTAGATGATATGCTGGAAAAGGTCAATACAAATAAGGTAAGTTATTCAGAATATATAACCATTTTTGGGGAGAAATATATAGTCCAGGTACTGAGATATGTGCCCTAATCCATTCCAGACTTCTGTGTGCTTTTATACCCCCATCGAAATCTGGGCATGTGTGCTTCCTCATTCATTTCAACAGAGGGAGCCAATCTGAACATAAAATGAAATGTGCTCACATAAGGCCCTGCTGCTGAAATGACAGTGGAAGCATTTGTCCAAGAATTGCTTGGCTGGTGGCTAAGGGACTTTCCCCAAATATGTCCAGGGGACAAATCCTTGCATTTTCAGCTCAGCTGTAGGAAAATGTAAGAAGTAAAGCTACTATCTGTGGCATCACAATGTGACAACTGCCATGCAGACCAATGACCTAAGCTCTGCTATGGTAGTGTGGAAAAGAAAGAGCTAGCACTAGAGTTACCACTGTGTACAGGCTTTGGGAGACAGATGGGTACTAGATGCTGATTTTTCAGCAGCTCTCTCAAAAATTATCATATTTTAAGAAACTGAATCAGTCTCCAAGAGACAGGGCTGAGGAAGTTGCAGTCCGCGTGATCATCACTGGGACAGGGAGGAACTGTTGACAGTAAAATGGGTTCAAAAAGGGATGTTAGGGAAGCTTTGAAATAAAGAAGAAGAAGAGGAGATTGGATTTATACCCCGCCCTTCACTCAGAGTGGCTCCCAAACTCCTTTCCCTTCCCTGCCCCACAACAGACACCCTGTGTGGTAGGCGGGGGTGAGAGAGCTCTTTCAAGAACTGCCCTTTCAAGGACAGCTCTGACAGAACTATGGCTTGCCCAAGGTCATCCAGCAGCTGCAAGTGAAGGAGTGGGGAATCAAACCTGGTTCTCCCAGATTAGAGTCCACACGCACTTGACCACTACAGCAATGAAAGACATGTTCTGCACATAATTCTTTTAAATATAAAGACATTCTTGAATGGTACAGCTCAGAATGAAATGCACTGACCTCCATGACAATGATGAAAGATAATTTGGCTGCAATAACATGCCAGTAATAGATGTTGTGTTCATACTGATGTTTATGTCCAGGAGGGTATCGAAAATCCCGGTATCTAAAGAATTCAAGCAGTCAATACTTTTTGTAATAACATGCTTAGGCCAGAAGGGGGAGCGAAATAGCCCTCCTCGCCATACAATGCAAAGTTCAGTACATGCAAAATTAAAGTAGAACAAAATTTAGCTCTAATTTTCAGAATAAGCAAGATCTCCTGAAATATATATTTCAGTAGATAAAATATATTTTGTTAGATAATATCTTCTCTTTTGTCACTTGCCATTTGCTGTTACATTACATTATCAAGCAGATCACATTATCAAGCAGATGTCATTCTGATTGTTAAAAAAAATTAAGAATACCCATTTTAAATGGAACTTGCCTGCACGTTGTTTGATTCCTAAACCATGGAAAGGCTGGCTTGCTTTCATTTCTGAAGTCTGATATAGCAAAGACGGACAGTGTGTTGTTTATGTACCCCTTCATGGTATAACTGCTCTGATCCCCATAGGGAGGGACTGAAAATGACCAGTAATAAACCAGGCGGGGAATCATATCCGATGTAAAAGCAATGATCATTGCCTGTTTTTCAAAAGAGAGAACAATGAGTACAATTTAACAAAATGGCCTGGAGATAAATAATTTTTCTCTGCATCTTCCTCGGGGGAAAAATATTATTGTACCATTTTGATGCTGAGCACATCTGAATCTCTCCAGTAAATGGCAGACTACCCAGGAAACCTATTTTGTTATTATTGTGGTGCCTGTAAGAAGGTAAGTACAAAGGTCTGTGTTCCTTGGAGGAAAGAGAATTATACAAATGAAATGAAATGAAATAAGCCTGCCCTTTCTGGATTCCTTTTACAGAACCCTGCTGCCAAGTAGCACTTCCTTCCCAGATCATTACCACTTAGTAGCTGCAACTGTTTGGTTATTCCTCCACTATAGCCTTTTCCATAAACCTAACCAATAGCTGTCCATTCTTTTCTTCCTGCCAATTTCCTACATCTCCTACTTCAACAGAAGAACGTTATCTCTCTCTCTCACCCCCTCCCTCTCCCTCCTAGAATTCAGGGGTACCCAGTAATTTGATGGGCAACAGATTTAGAGCAGACAAAACAAAATACTTATTTGGTCAATGGGTAAATTAAGGAATGAACTTCCAGTGCACGCATAAGCATAGATGGTTTTAAAAGTGGATTAGAAGATTCATGGAGAGCAGGCACATCAATGGATAGTAGCCAGGGCTCATTTCCTGCTGGAGTGCACAGGAGCGATGCTCCGGCAGTGAGGAGCCCAGGGGGTGGGCACATACAGCAAGCCCCGCCCCCTGCTTCCAGCAGCCGAGGACACGAGGAGCCAGAAGAAAGGTAAGTACAGCCTCCCCGCCTCCTTTCCTGGGCCACGCCAGGGCGCAGAGCCCAGGAAAAGGCCTGCCACCCCTGCCGCCTTTCCCTGGCTGTGCCAAGGCACAGAGCCCGGAAAAAGGCCTGGGGACCCCCCCTCACCTTTCCCGGGCCACAGGGGGGTGGCGGGGCCTTGATCGAGGTGGTGGTGGGAGAGCCTCCCTCCCTCTCCATCTCTTTTCCCTCCTTTCCTTCTCTCTTTCTTTCCCTCCTTCTTTCTCCCTCTCTCTTTCTTTTCTTCTCTCTTTATCTTTCCCTTTGTTTCTTTCTCTTTGTTTCTTTCCCTCCCTCTTTCCTTCTCTCTTTCTTTTCCTCCTCCTTTCCTTCACTCTCTTTCTTTCCCTCCCTCTTTCTCTCTTTCTTTCCTTCTCTCTATCTTTCCCTCCTTTTTTCCTTCTCTTTCTTCCCATCTGTTCCTTCTTTCTTTTTCTTTCTTTCCCTTTCTCTCCTTTTCCCCTTCTCTCTTTCTTTCTTTCCCTCCTTCTCTCCCTCTTTCCTTCTTCTTCTTCTTTCCCTCCATTCCTTCCTTCTTTCTTTTTCTTTCTTCACAGAGCTGCACATTCCCCCCCCATAGCTAGCAATCCAAAACAGTCCAGTGGCACCTTTAAGACCAAGGTTTATTCAGGTACAAGCAAGGGCGTAGACTTTCCAATTTCCTGGGGGGGGTGCGACTGGGCCAGAGGCATTGCTGTGCTAGGTCCTTAAAAGAACCGAAGCCCAGTGACATCACAGGCCATTGTCACTATTTATGGAGGCGGAGTCATGTAGGATTTAGAAAGTGGCTCTCCAGAATTTTTTGGGGGGCCTGGGAACCCTTGGGAACCCCCCTAGCCAGGCCCCAAGGGCTCAGAAACAAAGCACAGCATGGGCAAAATCCTTTACATAAAACCCTGGAGAACCACTGCCAGTCTGAGTAGACAATGATGACACTGATGGACTGATGGTAGAGATACCATGCTTTGTGTGCCTAAGGATAGAGGTTTAAACCTAGGAGGTCTAAGAGAACAGGTGTTGGAAAGGATCTTTCTCTGTCTGAGTCTCTGAGCTCACCTGCACCAGAGCAGACCATTCTGAAGTAGATGGACCAATGGCATGAAGACCAGTGTGGATTGAGGAGACCCATGTTCAGATCTACATTTTGCATGACACTTATTCTGTGATACTGGGACGGTTAGATTTGAGTCCAGTAGCAGATTAGAGACCAACAAGCATTTCAGGGAATAAGCTTCCAAGAGTCAAAGCTCCCTTCATCAAGCTGGGTGATATTGCCACAGTTGTGAGGTCAATATAAGGGAAGGGAGACTGGAGGAAGGGTGGGATAAAGAGGGATTGACAGATAACATGTGAGCAGAGTTCATTGTGATGAAAGAGGAATTTACAAAAAAAAAAAAAAACATAGCACCA